GCTTTGAAAACTAAATATCAAACTATCAACAGATTCATTTTTCATTAATGACAGTTCTTTGTTATTAGGTTGACTGCAATTCTGCACTGAAATCGCCTTTCAGTGCAATTGTGCTGACATTTGTTTGAACTAAATGAAATAATCAGACCCCTAAATGACTGATGCTGCTGAAGAGGAGAACACTGCGCATTGGCAAAGGATGTTTACTTCCTATGAGCTGCAGCTAGTGCCAAAAAACCATCATGAACTGCTCACAGGTTGAGTTCGCACAACTGACATTCATTTATATTAAAAAAAAGTCCCCGATCATCACTGTTGACTATTGTGTCCGAATGACTTAACAAAAGAAGTTAAAAGGCTGGTTACAGAAAGAGTTTATGTCCGTTTACGTCCCTTCATCCCGTCACTGTCACCTCTCTGCTCCACATTCCAGCCGCTCCGCTCTTATCTTTATTGGCTGAGGACGGGCAGAATTACAGCAGTTAAGAGGACAGTTTCTGGAGCTTCGAGACGCAGATGTCCACGGAGACCAGAGACGACCACCACTTATCAATGGCCACATGACAGGAGAGAATGAAATATATATGAGGACAGAAGAAAGCCGCCCCTGATAGGGTGGAGAACTTTCAGATAATGAGACTGCGAAGTGAGAGAATAACTGGGGGGAAAATAGCCGTAATAAAAGTAAACGGTCTGGTAAAGCTCCCAAATGACAAACAATAAACTGTCTCGTCTTTAGTTTCTACTTGAGTTGAGAGGAGTCGGCTCAGAGCATGATTCATATATTTACAAAAAGAAAACATTTTATTCTTTTGATACTTTTTGACATTAAACATTATTCCAGCTCCTCCGCAAAGTAATTTACATCAACCTAAACAATTGTATCAATAAAATGACAAAAGTTTTTGTTCAGTCTTGTTATTTTGACAAACCGATACATATGACTCATAACGGACATCATATTACTGTGCTGCATAGGGTCAGGCATATAAACAGTCAATTAAGCTGATAATTGGATGAGAGCTCAGATTTCACCAAAACAAACCACCTGTGAAAAGCAGACGCAGCTCAAAGATGTTAGTTTGTCATTAGCTCGGAGACAACGTTGGCTAATTGATCTGATTCATGGAGGAGAAATTAGCTGAGAGCAAAATAAGCTCTTGTTTGCTGTCACATGAAAAAAACACAATGCTGCTGAAAGTTATGACATTTTAGAAACTAAGAAAAATACAATAGCTAAAAGACAAAGACGTCATTTAAAACTGTCCAATTCATCTGGCAAACTGTGAGAAAATAATATTCTGAAGTTTATTTCATTTGTAAGATACAAAGTAACAAAAATAAGTCATTTCTAGTCTTATCTTTAACCAGGTATTGAAATACCTAAATGTATATCAATAAGTGCTCAGAGCATTGAGACATTACATTTAAAAAAAACTCTTTAGCAACATTTCTTTCCAAAAACAATCTCCCGTTAATCTGAATAACCCACAGAGCACAATCAACAGATTATTCAGCAAATAAATCCTAAAGATATAAAGATACAGATATCTTAAATCAATCATAAAAGCACATCTGTGTTTGCATGGCTGGATACCACTACAGGCAAATGTGACTGTTTTTGTTGATACTTGTGTGAACGGAGCCTTAAATCCTAAATTAATTTCTAAAAAGAAGACTCTACTGAACATGTGGGAGGTGTACCTCGAAACGTCTTGAAATCAAAATCGAATGAGAATAACCAGCATTCGCTTTTCGGAGGATTTGATCTGGTTATCCCAATTTTTGATTTGATTTTCTCCAAAACCATGTTCTGTTCTCTTGATGGGAGGAGCTCTGACCTCAGAATGACCGTGACCAGAATAGAGCAAGATGCGTATGAATTGAATATAAATGGTCATTTTTTGAGGAGGACGATGAGTTTATTTTCCCAGCAGGCACTGCGGTCTCTGAGGGACTCCCAGACCGCCATGGCATTACCCAGTTTGCCCACATTTCCCAGAATGAGGAGGAGCTGCCATGTCCAATTGTACCCAGTGGGCTTAATTATCTTTGCGTGTCGGCGTCAGTGCACGCCAGAGGTGGATATATACACTGTACGAGCCCTGTGTGATAAACACACGGGGGCCGAGCGTGCTCCGCAGCGTTTTCCGTGCTCGGCTTTGAATCAGGGGGGATATTTGTTTGGACATGTAGAGTTGAGGGTAAGCACTCTGAAGAGGAGGGGAAGCAGTGTCTATTGAAAAATCTACATGATGACACAAACAATTATGAGGAGAATTCATAACACCGCCAAGATGGCTCCCTGTGACCTATTTTGGATGTTTCCCCTGGCAAAGCAGCAAGAGGGGAGAGAGTGAGAAAGAGGGGGGAGAGAGAGAGAGAGAGAGATGACTGGAGTCTATTGGGGTTGAAAGCAAAATATGAAGAGACTATTACTGCTGCCCAGGTCTTTCAGCACCTCTTGCGATAGCAAGTAAAGGGAGAAAAGAGGAGAAGGAAGAGATCAAAAAGAGGAAAGGTTCTGGTTAGAGGTTCGGTGGAGAGAGAGGCACCGAGAGGAAGAATGGAGGGAGAGGTTGGAGGAGAAAGTGATACAGAGAAAGAGTAAAGAGGGGGATGGGAGTATGACCAGGGTTGTATTTCATCTCTGCGTAGTTGACGTCTTAATCAACACTGTCAGGTTTTCTTTCAGGAGGCTGCATGGTGTTTTTCATGCTGACAGCGGAGCGGTGAACAGGACGGAGAAGAGGATGTGCCTTCATTCTGCTCATAAGCAACACCAGCTTGCATACAAAATAATAATAATAATAATAATAATGCATGTCCTCCCTCACGAAATAAAACAAAACTTCAAAAGTTGCATAAAAAGCGTTTGGTTTATATTATGATTTTGCACACCTGAGTTCTGAGTTCCAAAAAAGAAAGCATTTAAATACAGCTGTGGTGTTGCAGAGGTTTTAGGTACCAGGCCAGATACAGAGAAATACTTTAAAGTCTGATCTTTACTGGTCATTTTCTTTGTCTTGTTCCAATCATTTCGATCTTCTCTTTTGTCTGTTCCTCTTGCGAAGCACTTTATTTTGAAACTTGCAAATAAAAAGTAAAAGTCATGCAGTGTAAATCAGGGTTCTTGGGAATGGTGTTAAATTAATGATGCATAAAAGTGAGAGCAGCATTTAACTACCGCAATGCATTTTATGAGTTAGTCACATTAGTCACACGTTTTGACCTGCAAAAAAAAAAGCCCATAACTCCAAGGAGAGTCAGAAGTTCCATATTTCCTTCAGATTTATAAAAAAAACCAAGTGTAAATTTGAGCAACATATAATAACTTAAATTCCACTGTCTCAAAACTATTAATAATAAGTTTGAGCAAACTTATATTAAAGCTGTATTTATAATATGCTGGTCATATCAGAGAGAGTATGTGGTATTATAGCAGGAGATTAATTATTTTAATATTTTAGTGGTTGAAATTTATATAAAATTTAATCAAAACAACTATAAGATCATATACTGAGGCCATGGAGACTATATGCACCTATCGGAATATTGTAGATATATTTTAAGGATATAAAAGAATACAATAGGAAAAAAACACCATAAGATGTGTGAAGTACTATATGCGCATTTAGGGATATGATCTGAATGTTTCCGTGCAGTATTCTGTACATCCGTGTAAAATAAGCGACATAACGTTGTGACTGATGGCTCTTTATTGAAACACGGGTGGACGGTGAAATATGCTGCAAACTGCCGTGCAGCATGTAAACAGTGAGCAGGCCAGGGGAGCTTTTATGGAATACATGTAACCCTGCTGCACGGTGACACCTCCTGATTTATGACTGTATTTAGATAAGACGCGGTCCGTAAATGGTTTCCAAATAGCGCCAAGGTCATGTAATGTAATGGGATAATGTTTTTCAGTCGATGGAGACAGGATGATGTGTTTAGTGTGTAAGGAGCTGTGGGAAATTAATGCGCAGATAAAGCCGCTATTGCTGAGGCATGATGACAACAGGCCGGCAGACTGTCTGTCCAAAAGAAAAGCACCAAATACCTCATCAAACTGTTTCATTTACACTTCCCAGAGCGCTCCGACATACACCTTGTGTTATTGCTGGAACATGAGAGAAAGATACTGTTGAAATTCAGCCAAATTACGCACAAAACAGCCATTACGCGTTTAAGAAAATATAAAATATTTAAAAATATGGCTGAAGGAGCTGGAACAGAAAGAGACAAATAATTAAAAATGTTGAGAGTAACTTTATGGCATGAAGCAGTACACTGAAGAGGGACGGATAATTTATTGGATGCATTGTCATGATTTTAATGCGAAGAAAATGTTTCCATTATCTGTTCATTCCTCGAAAATGAATTCGTGTTATCCAATTAAAAAATCATCAATCGAAAATCTTAGTTTCTCAAGGCGGGATATCTCAGTATAAGATATTTTATGTCAAGTCTGTGAATTAAAAATGCAGAGTTGTAGGCCTTTTTTCTTTTTTATTTGTGCGCAACTACAAAATCAAACGGAATTCCAGATTCCCTGCTGTATTCAATTCCCTGCACCATCGACCACGAGCTGACAAATAAAAGAACACAAAGGAATTATTTTCACCACTGAATGACCAAAAGCACACCCAATAAACATGCTTAGCCAAACATAGGGTGCGTAAATTATGTGCGTAAAACCTCTCCAACCACTCGAACTGACAACAAACTCCTTTTTTCTCTCCAAAACTTGAAGACAATTAAACCACTTTCCCCCCCATCATCATATGTGCACGTCTGTGTAGCCAGAAATCAACTCCAACAACAAGCAGATATTTGCTGCTTGTGCATTGCCGTGAGATTATGGCGCATGCTATTGCAAACCGCTCTAGACTCTCCTCCCATCCTGGGCGCTTTCCTCTATTGGCTGCCTCCATTCCACGCTCACATCCAAATCATATAAACCTGGGGGCCTCACACCTACACCCGGGTCAAATTTCTTGGACAAATCAGAGCAGCTGCCTCTTCGGGAAACCATCGCAAGAAAGAAAGACAAAGTGGAGCCCAGCACAATACATCGCCAAGATTTGTCCTCTGGAATTATAAACTTTTTTTCACGGCCTCTTTCGCCTCGGCTAGTCGCTTTCAGAATGACGACGATGTACAAGTTGGTGGCTACGTTTGTTTTGACTCATTAATGCATTTAAGGGAATACATAGTTATGTATTGAATGAGTTTTGTTGGCTACCGATCCCCGAGCAGAGATCGTTTTGGGGCAGTACCGGAGAGAGACCGAGGGCGAAGGAAAACACCGCAACGAGCACATTTTTCCTCCCGCTCGACATGAACCTCATCGGGGGCTACCAGCATCACCACCACCTGATGCACGAACCCTTCCCGTTTGTCCAGCGGTGTCACCAGGATGCGCCGTACTTCCAGAGCTGGGTGGTGAACCACAGCGAGGTGCCCCCGGACTTCCAGATCCAGGCGCCGTACCCGGCCGCGGAGCACGGAGCGCCCGGAGCGACGCACGACGCCCGTCTCGAGGGGCTCCAGGCGGGGATGGGGAAGAGGAGGACGTCGGGGCCGAAGAAGGAGCGCCGGCGGACGGAGAGCATCAACACAGCTTTCTCCGAGCTCAGGGAGTGTATCCCCAACGTCCCGGCCGACACGAAACTGTCTAAAATTAAAACTTTACGCCTGGCGACCAGTTACATCGCCTATCTGATGGACGTCCTGGCTAAAGACACCGGGGAGACAGAGGGCTTTAAGGCCGAAATTAAGAAATTTGAAAACCGGGATATGAAAAGGAAACGGGAGCCGGTAAGTAGAAGCCTGCAAAACCTTCTTGTGGATCAAAATGACTGCAAACTGAAACAGTTCAGTAGTTAGTTAGACTTTCTTAGTCATTGTAAAAAAATAGCTGGAGGCCTGGTTCACAATGGAAACATAATATCTTAAGGTGGAATTTAACGATACGCTCTGATTGAAGCAAACCCAAAGTTAATTAAACAACAAATCCTAAATATAAAACACGGTTTTAAGATTTACAGTTTTACTTTTTTCAGTCTGCTTATTATCTGAGTTATATAATAATTTCCAACTGAAATATTATTTCATTGTATTATTAGCCAATAGATCTTTAATATGTGGTATAAAATGAATCCTTTCATATTTAATGGTATTTTTTAAATATCTCTGACCCATAATAACAAAGCATGTCTACTGGAGGCTACCCATGGATGTGTGCCTAAAACAGTCAACACTTCACCTCATTAATTAAAATAAGTTTGAAACGTTTTATCTTCATACACACTGAGATCACTCCGTCACATTTTGACTGTAATATTGCAGTAAAAATATTACTGCTGCATTACGAAATATTTACTGCTCCAGATCACCATATGACGACTGGCCCAACAGTTATATCCTCATCATATATTTAACGCTTTAAAGATAGTTATTCACAATGTGGGTGGATAACGCTTGTGTTTGCTATAATAAACGACTAATATGTATGTTCATAAAACTACATTTCCGATTAGCCTTATTTATTTTAAATTATGCATCATTATTTAAAATGATTATATCATTTGAGATAGAGGGTAGGCTTTTTACATATTTGTTGAATCATTTGGGATTTAGTCTCATGGTTTGATCGAGAGTTCACTGACTTTCATTTAATGAATGCCTGCATGTGATGTCATGACCCTGATTGCGTCACGAAAGGCCCCCAAATCATTACATTGTGACGAAAAACAGCATGTGCCATAGTTTTGTCTTTCCAGATCAGACTCTCGGAGGAGCGTAAACTTATGCTATGAATAAGTCAGCACGAAATGCAATATTGTAAGAACTGATCAAACTGGGGTCCCTGTGTTTGCGCCTCCCCTGCTGATGATAATGTGGTGTTTCTCGGTGTAACAGACTGACGGCCTGCAGGAGTCATTAGGAGCCGAGAAGAAGGTGAAGGGCCGGACCGGGTGGCCGCAGCAGGTCTGGGCTCTGGAGCTCAACCAGTGACCCTCTTCCTCCTCTTCCTCCTCCTCCCCTGAGAAAAAACCTCCTCAGACTCTGGCTTGAAATTGTAAATAAAAAAACAACAACCACTGACTGACTGAACACAAACACACCGCTGTGCACGTGCAATGATGCGCAAAAGGAGAGAGAATTAAAGGACAACATGCAAACAAGGTGAGCTGCGGAGGAAAACAACACGATGGACAATTTGTTGATCTTCTTCCCTCCTTGTGCAGTTTCTAACTCTCTCTCTCTCACACACACACACACACACACACACACACACACACACACACACACACCTGACTGTATCATATTTGTGGCATTTCTGCTTTTTGATGTTTCCACCCTTCCAGTGCTGTAGACCAGATGTGGCCACGGTGTCAAAAAAAAAATGAAAAGGAACATCTGTCTCCCCTAAAAATGTATTTTTATCTGGTGTGGTGTGGTGATGTTTTCCACGTCTGATGGCGCTGGAGCAGAAAATAAATACATTATAACAAATGTCATGTGGTGTAAATGCACAGTATGTGTCCGTCAGTGCAAACATGATATTTATTTTATTCTTTGCTTGGGATTTTATTTTTTAGTTTCTTTGTAATTTATGACAAATCAGTCACACGAGCTGCACAGCACAATATTTAAAAAATAGATTTCTCAGAGTGAGTTACCAGAAACAGGATAATAAAAGATTGTTGTCCAATCAGAAAAGCATTGTGACACACACATATCTTATAATACTTTCATTTTAATTATAACTTTAATAAAACTGTTCTGGCACACTTAACATCTTTTCCATGTGTAGCATGTTGTCAGTTGGTTTAGTACCACTTGGAAATTAAATTATTTAAGTTTTTTTGCATAAATTCTGATATGATATATATATATATATATATATATATATATATATATATATATATATATCATTATTGTATTGCCAGGTATGGCCTGATGTTTCTTAATTTTTAGCTGCAAAAAAAATACAAACCAAACGTCAGATGAGGAACCGCATGACATGGTAAGAAATGTAAAAGTGATGTATTCATTTTAAAATATTTATGAATTAAATCAATGAAAACCCAGATAGACTTCTTTGTAATGTGATGCCATGGAAATGAAATGAAATAAAATACAACAAACAATCTATATAGTTCCTGTCCATATTGGGAAGCTGAGTCCAGATGAAACACATTTTTGAGGGGAAACCTTTTCTTTTTTTGGTCACTGTTTCATCCCGCTGAATTTGGTGCAGTCAGAATATTTAAACTATTATTAATCCAGTATTCCCGGTCAGATATGTAACACAAAAACTCAAATGGAGTCCTGACTGTTAACTATAGCGGCTATTGAAGTTTCTTTAAAGAAAATTATTGAATCTACTGAATCTACCTCAAAATGAATGTCACTGTCCGTTCTGAGACACCGAATGTTCCGTAAACGCACAGCTTTCACTCCGACATGTTAAACACTATTTCAAAGGAGATAAAGGTTTATTTCTGTGCGAAATGCTGATGGAAATGTACATTGGATGTGAAGTTATATTAAGTTCCGTAAATAAATGAATTATTTTAAGTCACTCCAGCTCGAGTGAAGTTTTTTTTTTCCTCTCTCATTTATAACGATTCCATGTTTTATCAAAAAGACATTATTCACCTTAGTCTTTTTATTTTACCTGTTTTTGGGGCAAGTAAGTTATAATCAATGGAAAAAGAAAGATAATCGAAAAGAAAGAGAATCAAGAATCACCACCTAATTTACAAATAATTTAATCTTTTAATTTCGGTGTTCATTCTAATTTAATTCCAAGATTTCTTTTCTTTTTTAACTTAATCCCAGAACACCGGTCGTTTCCTCACATTACTCCACTTTATATAGAATTCTGAGAACACTCTTTAAATGTCTAACTTTCTTCACACATTTAGTGTTAAGTTACAAGTAGAATATCAAAAGGAAGTCAGGACTGTTCACCTGGGTGGCCTACAATTTAGAAAATACATCTTGTTCAGAAGTCAGAATAAAACAATCTTAAATATCTAATCCTTCCGTTAGTCATGTGTGCAATATAGTATTCGAAAGGACAAATCTACAGAAGTGCTAGTTTGAAAGACTCCACCACACTTACGTTATTTAGGTCTTTGACACGCGTTAGTAATGGTGTCTCCTTAAAAAAGAAAAAAGAAATTTGGCTCAAAAGTTCTCCTACATGTTTGAAAGACGCTGTTTGTGTGTCGACTCATTTGTCCTGTAAACGTGTTTTTAAAACCCGCCTCTCTGCACTGCTGCCCTCCGATTATTGTGAGGAACTACAGCGACACCTAGCGGCCGATGGCTGTTCCTGAAACAACACAAGCATGATGAAACAACATCCAACCTGGCTGCATTTTCCTTTATTTTTTGTTTAATTCACACGTGTTCATATATAAAGTGTAAAATCAGCAATCTGTGAAAGAACAGAGACACGAGACTGTTGCTTCTTTCTGTACAATACATTTATTATCATCAGGAGCAATAAGCAGCCATATTTAAATATGTTTATTTTTTTTCTTCTAATACATCAATTACGTTAATGTGGCGTGGCCTATATGTTAATAAAGTTGGGTGTTATCTCCATGACACTAAAAAAACCTACAAGCAAAACTGAAAACATAACAGACACTTAAAAATAACCCAAAAAGAGAGAGAACCCTGTTGAAAGTAGAGAACTCAGACTGGTGGACAAACTTAAATACGATGCAGAAAGAAAGCTCAAACTGTCGTCACCACAACGAAGAAAAATATTTTAATATGAGTTGAAGAGCTGCGAGTTGTTCATTGCCAGGCGGTTCCAGCAGTGCTTTCAGAAGTGAAATAAACGTGTTGGTGTCATTTTAAATGCTTTATGTTGATTGGCTAATGGCCAAAGTGCTACTTTCCCCATCAGGGCTTAAAATCATGGAAACATAAGACCCAATCCAACCAAAAAAAAACATGGCATTTACTTCCCCCAATTCTGTTCTCTCATTCATTTCACTAACTAATTAGATCGGTTACTTGACCACTCAATCGTTAAGACAATAATCGCCAAAGTGCAGAGTCAAATATAGAAGAAGTCGAGATGGTCGTGAACTCCTTTAGGGGCATAAAAATGTAAAAACACTCTTTTAAAGAACTCATCAGCCAACTTCCTTGTGATGACATTGTCTCTGCAGGCAGACATGGAGGAAAGGCATCCATCTTTGTTTATTTAAATTCCTCAAAAGATAAAAAAACAAAAAAGCTTGCGTTTCTGCTTTACAGCTTCTTGAAACACATCCAGATATGTGAGGAAGTAAATCAAGACTTGAGCCGTTTGTCCACTAGAAACAGCTCTTAAATATTAAAATGATGCTAATAATTACTCTCACACCGCTTTCTCTCTCTCTCTCACACACACACACACACACACACACACACACAC